ACTGACCCACCCTGCCATCCTGACCAGCTTACGGGGCCAGTGCCATAGGGTTGCTGGAAGGACTGGCTCAGGTGCTGCAGGGAAAGGCAACAGCAGAAGGTRATGAGGAATAGAAACTCCTCTGGCCTCTTTCACAGGGCCCAGAACACAACCCCAAACCTGAGGTTCAACAAGGCAAAGTGCTGGGCACTTTGGTCAAGGGAGGTCAACAGCCTCATGCAGCACTACAGGCTTGAGTAACAGTGCCTGGAAAGGGGCCCAGGGGAAAAGGACCTGGGGGTGCTGGGTGAGAGCTGAAAAAGAGCCAGTGTGTGCCCAGGTGGCCAAGAAGGCCAAGGGCATCCTGGCTTGTATCAAAAACAGTGTGGCCAGGAGGACCAGGGTAGTGATTGTCCCACTGCACAGTGCACTGCTGAGGCCACAACTTGAGTCCTGTGTCCAGTTCTGGGTCCACCACTACAAGAAAGACATTGAGAGGATGGAGCAAATCCAGAGAAGGGCAACAGAGGTGGGGAAGGGTCTGGAGAGGAAATAGATGGGAGCAGCTGAGGGAGCTGGGATGTTTAGCCTGGAGAAAAGGAGGCTCAGGCATCATTCTCTACAACTGCCTGAAAGGAGATTGTAGCCAGGTGGGGGTCTGTCTCATCTCTTAGGCAACAWGCGATAGGACAAGAGCCACAAGTTGTCCCAGGTTCAGGCTAGACATCAGGAAGAATTTCTACACTGAACAGGTGGTCAGGCATTGGAATAGGCTGCCCAGGGAGGTGGTGCACCCTGCAGGTGTTCAAGAAATGACTGGATGTCATTCTGCACTGAGGGATCTGTTCTTCTTGACAAGGCCTAGCTGATCAGTCAAAAGTTGGACTTGATGATYTTGAAGGTCTTTTCTGAACTTAATGATTCTATGATTCAAATTTTGTGCTGGCTCGTAAGGCTACCAAGTCTTCCATATGGCAGTTGCAAGCGTAGCTTTGCTCCAGCCTCTGCAACCAGTTTTGTAAAGCAGCAGTTGATGGTTGAGGAGAGAAGGCAAGCTGGGGAGGAGGAGGAGGAAGCAGCAGCCCTCCCCCCCAGCTGTGCTAGATGTGGCATGTCTCTCCTACATCCCTCTCTGCATCCCAGGTCTCTGATCTTTTCAGCCATGCTATGAATGGCAGAGAGACCTCATTCAAACAGACAGTGGTTTGTGGGAAAGGAACTGCCATAAAAATAACTTCTGAAAACAAGACTCAGCTCTTTGCCTTCAGGAACCCGGATTTCCTAATGTGGCTGAAAACCATCTGAAAACCTCATGACTTCTTTGGTTACCACAGCAGTTCTAGCAAAGACCTTTGTGTAGCGGTCATCCCATTCCCTCTGCACGTTGATCTCTTGCTCACTTTGATTGCACCACTGTCCTTCCTCAGACAGGTTTGCAACATTTCCCTACCAGGACCAGATCTCCCACTGAGATGAGGAACAATTGTGATGCAACCTTTTAGAATAAAGCACAATCTCAGGTTCATGACTGCTGCATGTCTGGCATACATCACTTTTAAGAATACAGACTGTGGTGACACTGAGTCCATCTGGAATGCGGGTAACTTGAAATTTAAACATTTAGCATGTGTCTGGAAGAATTCATCCAGAAGCTACAGAAGGTCATGAAAGCAGAAAAGAACGGGAAATGAGAAGATTCATTTTGCCTACAGTGCCCAGGTCTCAGAATATCAAATATTTACAATTAACTCTTCTTTTCTCCCTACCCAGCTTCTCTGTAGGAATTACAGTAAMCAAGGCTCTGAAAGAGCCACACAGGCAAAAGGGCATCTCGTTTTCATCACATTCAAACAACATTCCTATCTACTGTCTCTTGATAATAACCATCAAAACAATTTTYCAACTGGGTATTGGGCTTTACTGTTTCAGATTATTTTCTGCAAGAGGGGTATGCTTTATGAAGAAAATGTAGATTTTTTAAAATATCTTTTTTTTTTACCAACAGGAGTAAACCACTGAAGCATCTGCCATGGATTAGTGCAGTCCTCCCATCCCCAGTTTGCAAAGGGAGGGCAGGACTGTTGCCAGTGCTGCCTGTGTTCGGCACCTTGCCTGGAGGGAAGGAGAGGACAGGAACTACTGACACCAGCTCCCAGCTGGCATTTCCAAAATGAACAGGCTAATTTTCTGTCTGGCATTCCACTGGAAARTCAATGTATTTTTCATGGGAAAAATTGAAATTTTGGTTTTAGCCCTGAATGTGGGGGCAGTAACCCCTTGTGCTCTTAGTGATGCAGGCACATGTAATGGCTGTATTCATCCATATTCAGTTTTACATCCCCAATTCTATTCCTTTCTTGATAGCTGTGTAATCCCATCAGGCTTACAAGACACCCACCCACTTGGCTGGGTTTGATTCCCCCCCCAGATTACCACAATTAACTGTTTTTGAGAGTGCTGACATGCAGTAGGCAGTAGAGGACACCTGCTTGAATTTGGTTCTTTATTTTGAGACAGTCAAGCACACAAACAACTCTATAATGAGACTTCAGAACTCTTTCCCTACTTAATTTGATTTTCTACATCACTGTGCTTCTGTCCTGGAGGGGCAAACACATCTGCACTTCTCTCTCTAGTGACACAGGTTACTTTTCAATTGAAACTAAATTTCCATATGTTCTGTAAGTGACACTTCTGATTAAATCGTTCTCATTTATATTCCCTGCTTCTCCTCGCATTTTAGTAAACAGAGAAACACAAGAGGGTCTCTAATGGTATTTTTCTTCTGTTGTCAGAAACACTGCTGGTTTTCTTTACCCAGAAAATAAACCTTTTACAAAACCCCTCATTTTGCCTAGTGGAAATTGTTTTGCTTACAGAAACCCAACCAATTACTAAAGCTAACCATAACCATGGGTGCATTTTGAGCAGGGCACTCAAAAGAAAAAAAAACCCTGAAAATAATTTGAAGTAAAAACAGATGTAGTGATCAAGAGATATACAAAGTAATTCTCCTTTAAATATTTTCAGCAAAATATTTTTTGCATGGTACATTCCTGTATTACATAACCCAACATATAGCACTTTTCTTTCAATCTTTTTATGCCCTATGCCATGTATGTGGATTAAAGGTAAAGCTAAATAGTCTGTTTGGAAAACACAATTTCTCARTGCCAACCAGACACAATTTCTGGTGCCATTTCTCCTTTACTCACATGGCCTTTGCTTCAATCTGCAATTTCATTTCTGCAGAAGAAGGAGGAAAGGGTGCTCCCTTTTGTTCTGGTCATGAAAACAAAATTATTTCCATATTGAATTGTTAGTATGAATGTAATAAATTTTGATTGTTTTGCCTGAAACAGTGAGAAAAAAATACAGAGGCTCTGGAAAGACATTTTTTCATGGATGTCTCAGCACTGATTGAATCCACTTCAGCCAGTTAATTGTACACATAAAAGATGCTGTTGTGCCATCAGCACTCACCCTGACATTTCCAAAGCAGTTGGACAAATTCAGAGAAAGAATCCAGGGAGAACATTGAAGGCAAAGRCACCAGCAGGTGCCACCAGCAGACACCTGAGCCACAAGCTGTTGGCATCTGAAGAAGCCCTGCTTTGTTCTTGCTGGGTTTTTATGCTGCTACTTTGGCCAATGGCAGGTCGGCCAACAGTCTCCTTGGCCAACAGCTCCTACCTTGGCCAACTTTATTCCGGTCCAGTGTAGCCACACACACATTTCACAGGATTTTAAACTACTGTGGGCACTGGCCATCTCTGGGAAAACTTTCTAGAGAAGCAGGACCTTATCCCTCACCTTAACCTTGACTTCTGCTTTCAGAAGGACTGAGTTTTAATTTATGCTCACTGAACTATTAGCAGACAGGGCTACTTGTTCCTGGGAAATGCAATTGCCACAGTCCCAGTATGGATTGAGTCTGTGGGATTTTAACGGAGTTGTGCTCCTCCACCACAGAAGGAAATCTGGGCCAGACTTCTGACACACTGGTCTTTGATCACTCCCAATATCTGTAACCYTAAAAAGATGAGCTGGCAGCATCAACCCACTGGGCTGGTGTTTTGTGTCACTTACATCCTCTTTGCTGTCCAGAACATTGCAGGGTATGGCATGTGCCCAGGTCTGGGGAGGAGCAAAATGGAGACAGGGACTGAGACACCGTATGAAACATCTATCAGAGTGCCAGGCACTTGTCTGAATTATTTAGGTACTTGCCTAAAATACCAGTGCGCTACTTTCAAAAGAAAGATGTCATGGATTTTTTTTACACTCCCAAGTCTCTTAAATTTTCTAWTTTTTGAGTGCAGGGATGCAAAAGGGGGAATCAAGACCAACTTCCCCAGCACTGTTCATCTCCCACACCACCCATCTACCACAGCATCTGCGAGCTCTGGGTTAACAATTCAAAYCCCAACTTTCTTCCAAATTTAACCTCCTACAATTTTCTCTTTCTGGTCCAGCACCACAGTGACCCAAACCACAATTTTTCACTCTTGTGSTTTTCCTGTACCACAGCCGCATGTTAATAAACACATCTCCTGGGTGCTTCTCCTGCCACTGCCAGAGACAACCTGAACAACCTGCCACTGCCTTCGAATAGAGGCTCCCAATTGATATTAGCAGGAATTAGAAGCAGCTGGAAATTACTTTTCAAAAGTCAAGCATCTAATTTAAAACAAAACAAAGCAAACATCCCCTGAAAAAAAAATTAAAAATTCCAAAGCTAATGAGACTTGCATTCTGTTTTGCCTTCAGCCCAAAGCATTTGCCCTGCATGAGGGTTTCCATGGCTTCTCTCTTCAGATGATCCCATTGAAGAGGCAGCTGATGAAGGTGACCCTGTTCTTCGAAAGGATGGATGCTACAGAGCATGGATCTGACAGACCTTGATATGGATGGCTTAATTAACACCAGATGTCCCTTTTATGGGAGAAATAGTTGCTGCAAAAAAAAAAAAAAAAWCTCTGACGAGATGCTGGTGGTATTTCCTAGCAGCCAACACTTACCTCCGTGCTGTGTGTGTATTTCCAGCAGGCAGCTGGGATCAATCCACAAAAGGCCAGAGCAAAACAGAAAAATCCCTGAGGATAAAGAGGAAAAATACCAACAGTTACAGCACAGGGGAAAAAAATGTTCATTTGCAAACACCATCAGGACATATTTAATATGCTTGTTCGATCAAGCTTCATTAAAGTTTAAACATAACCTTCTTTTAATATCCTTCATAATGCTGGTTACTTATAAGACATTAAATGGACAATAACGTGGTTCTCCATCAGGAACCCTCTAATTACACCATGACCAATAGAAGAGTTTGACCAAAAAAACAGGCAGCTTCCTGCAGAGCAGAGAGTCTATTCTGCCCAAATTCCTCTTGGACAAAGGAAAGGGGGGATAAAAACATATTTACAGTATGCTCCCCTTCTGCTGCAGGACTGTGCTTCAGAATAGCATCTCTTTACTCATGGGATTCAATCCCCTCCATTTAAAACTTGGCTATTGCCTTCAAAGAGGGGAAAAGCCACATGAATACTCTGTAAAGAAGTAAATAACTGGGACAGAGAGCAAYCTGCTCAGGAAGAGGAGCTGGACTTACTCTGTGAGCAAGGTGGCAGCTGCACAGCCAAGCCACCTTCCGTAGACCAGCACCATCCCGTTAGAGAACAGGATGACAGAAATACAATCAAGGCCAGGCAACTGACCCTGAAGTGTCTAAACAATAACAGCAATGATGCAGGAGCTGGCTTGACTTTTATCTTCTGCCCTAGGTTTGCAGAGCTGGAAGTTACATGCTTTGTGTTTTTATTTGAACAAATCTGGACCAAAAAGCCCACACACCCTGATATAAAAAGAACTCTCCTGCTGTGACAGCTGGACCAAAGGATCTTGTTCACATTAATAAAAAAATAAAAGAATGAAAAAGTGCCTGTAAAGTGTTTTAAGGCTAAATGGGCTCATCAAATATGAATCCACATCTTAGTCTTGGAATGACAAAAGATGATGAATAAGCATCAATTGAAAATTAATGCCATCACAAGTTTTTCCATGAAACTGTGCCTCTTTCAACACAACTTCATGTGGAAAACTTACCCAGCTGACTGTGCCTTATTTTGATTTCTATTTTTTTTCTATGACTGTTTTCATTGTATGATATAGCTGAAATAATTTGAAAAAGTTCAAGTCTTTACTGAAATTTTACCAAATTCAAGCTTGAGAGAGGAAGAACATTGCTTCTTGCCAGTTCTGCTTCACAAAAAAAATTGCATATAAGATACAGTTTATAAAAAATGGCTCCAAACTCATGCATATGCAGCAAGAAAGAAAATGTGTTACTTCAAATCCTGGAAATGAAAGTGAATGTGCCAGTAAACTGCTTTTTGCTGGCTCTTGTCCATCTGCTCTGTTTCTCTGCCCTGTCCAGGGGCTTTGCTCCTGGAACAAGACTGCCATTGGTATTTTATCACATTTTGGGGCCACCTTGTTTCAGGCTCTGCATCAGACACTGGAGAAAACCCTGGTACAGCTCTTACAAAGAATCTTAAATTATGTATGTCYAGTCTCTCATTTATTTTTTTGGCAGCTGCCTGGCCATATAGCTAATGAGATCACTTGTTGCCTTGCTAGGAGCTGCAATGAGATTACAGAAGATCCTAGAGGAGATGAGAGGAAAAGACTGATCAAACACTGAAATGACAAGGGAAATATAAGTCACGAAGATATGGAAGAGCTCACAGGGCAAGATATCACAGTCCAAAGCCCAGATGGAGTCAGGGGTTCAACCCCAGCAGGTACAGCACAAACTGGAGGGAGGAGGTGAGGTTACACAGGTGTGTCAGGTTGTTCCTCGGTAGGACCAGCCCCTGCATTTTGCACTGCCTCCAACAACTTCCCCACCAAACAAACAGCATTTTCACCAAAATCAAGTCCAAAACCAAGAAAATGAAAAAGAAAAAAAAAAAAAAAAAAAAAA